AAAACCTCGCCTTATAGATTTTCATGCAAATTCGAGTCCACATTGACTTCAATGCAAAATCAGCCACTAGTGACTTCAATGCAAAATCGTGTCTCATAGAATTTCATGCAAAGCCGCGTCTCATAGACATTCATGCAAAATGCCCCCTAGTGACTACAATGCAAAACCTCGTCTTGTAGATTTTCATGCAAAGTCGAGTCCACATTGACTTCAATGCAAAATCAGCCACTAGTGACTTTAATGCAAAATCGCGTCTCATAGACTTTCATGAAAAGTCGCGTCTCATAGACATTCATGCAAAAATGCCCCCTAGTGACTTCAATGCAAAACCTCGTCATATAGATTTTTATGCAAAGTCGAGTCCACATTGACTTCAATGCAAAATCAGCCCCTAGTGACTTCAATGAAAAATTGGCAGCCACAATAATTACATTTTTAAAAAATAAATAAAAACTGTCCGTTTCGGGTTTGGTTTTTTGGCAAAAGTGCATCCTGAATTTTCGGTTTCGGCACTAGAATTTTCATTTCGGTGCACCACTAGTATTCTGATGGCAGAGAAGACTCCCCACTTTCTGAATACAAAGGCACAGTGGGAAGATTCCCCCATCCATCTTGAGTGTGTGGATGGGAGAATCAAGGCTTTTTTTTTTTTGTTCAACCTACTGGCTGAATGAAAAAAAAATGAATCCATCTATGGGGCTGCCTTATTTCAAGGGTTCCTCCATGTTTAAAAGGTTGAGAAAGGCCGATATAGAATATCAGCTTTGTACTGTAGGATATTCTTTTCTTTGACCTTGCTATGTAGCACCACCTGCTGGACGTTCTGTGTAGTACCCGTTTACATTATTGGCTTGGTGAAAAATGCGATCATAAAGGACAGCTCTCAGTCTGTACTAATAATTGGAAACTGGCAGGGCCGGCTCCCAATCATGTGACTATTGTGACAGCCAATCACAGTGGACACATGACTAGGCAGACCTTCTTGCCTCCTGGGTGTACAATCTCAGTAAAACAGACATGGGAAGGGGTTAAGTTGGAATGAGATTTGTGTTAATTCTGATTTTTGTTTTTTTTTGGAACAGGCTTACTATTTCAAGTTTACATATCTCCGAACAATGAACTTATATTATTTGCTTCCTTTTGGTCTATAAAAGCGGTATTAAACCGCAAACATTTATTATATTGCAGCTTACCAATTCTTAGATGCAATGGCTACTTTAGTTTTCTTTTTTCATCTGGCCAGTACATCTGTTGTTTTTCAACAGAAAAGCTCTCTTGCAGTTTCAGGAATGAGACAGACCATTTACCACTGACAGGCGTGCTTACAATGATCCGCTTTTATTTATTTATTTATGTAAAGCTTGTGTCCCAAAAGGAAAATAAATAGCTATAACAGTTTATAAAGTATTAGCTGGAGTTCAGCTTCAATTTGTTACAGTATTTAAATCTGCTAGTACATCTAACACTCCCAACTCCCAGACTGGCAATGCTGCTTTACAAACCTGCCCCCTGTGCTCCTTCATCCAGAGTGGTGTCTGTATAATACAGGAGGTGTGTTACTGGCCAGATCTCCAGGGTAAAACAGACGGGGGGGGGGGGGGGGGGGGGGGGGGTGGGGGGGGCCTAAAAAAAGAGAACTAATGCAGCCACCACATTTAATGATTGTTAAGCTGCAATATATAAATTTTTTTGTTTTGGGTTTAGTATCAACACCCCCTCTATGTTATGGAGAGGAGGAGAGAGGGAGGTGTTCTATAGTTCTAACACAATTTCTCTTCTAGGGTGTTAATGATGCTCCTCCATTGATACAGTACAGTGAGTAAGCATTGTCATTCTCAGGACAGGAAATGTGTTCGTGGCAGAATTACCCGGTGAAAATAAGAAAAAAATCTAGAAAAAAAAAGAAAAATAAACCAGACTCATCTATTGACTGTCAAAGGGTTTGTTCAACTTTACAGAAAAAGTGTAAAGGTGACCTAACACCCCCTCTCCACCCCCCCTCCCCCTCCACCGGTCCCCAGCAGCAATCGTCAGCTGTCAGGGCTCCCGCAGCCGCTGAAATTTATCCACTTGACACCGAATCACATGCAGTACATGTACATCATTTGTCTTTAAAGCGGAGTTCCACTCACTCTGTAAAAAAATAAAAGTCAGAAGCTACAAAAACTGTAGCTGCTAACTTTTAAAAAATAGCCACTTACCTGTCCCAAGATCCCCCCGTTGCACCCGCTGCAGCCCATTTCTCCGGCCGTCCTGTATTCCAGGCGCTGGCATCTTCATTGTGGGCACCCGGCTGTGATAGCTTGCGGCCTCACAGCCGGGTGCCCACTGCGCATGCGCGAGTAGCACTGCACTTCCTGAATGGCCCCCCCTCGTCTTCCGGGACCTGTCACGTGTCCCACAAGACTTCAGGGAGGGAGGGTAGGAGGACAACTTCTGTTTCCGATCACCTAGGAGATCGCAGCGGAAGTGAGAGCGGGTACCTGTCAAATTTTGGTACCCCCCCCCCCCTCCCCAAAAGGTGCCAATCCTTAATGGGGAGCGGGGGACCAATCTTTAAAGAGGAACTTCCCCTTTTCGGTGGAACTCTGCTTTAGGTGGTTGTATCAGGATGATGTCTGCAGCTGCAAATCATTTTTTAAGCTGGCAACTGGATTGCATTAATAAAGGCCTGGATTGTTTCTTAGATACACAGAATATAACTGGATACTAAAATTTATAGGTAAAGTTGATCCAGGGAACATCCGACTGTCTCTGGGATCAGGAAGGAATTTTTTCCCTGCAGGAGCAAATTGGATCATACTTTTCTGGGGTTTTTTGCCTTCCTCTGGATCAACTGTGGGTGTAGGATTATAACTTTTTTTTTTTTTTATGGTTGAACTGGATGGACTTTTGTCTTTTTTCAGACAGACTAACTATATAACTATGTAAGTGGCTTGTATGTAAAAGTCATCTGTGTGGCTAACTAGTCGCTGGATGGCTTTTTTTAGGTGGCAGGAGGGGTGACACCCCCTTCTTGCCACCCAGTGATGTCTCTCTGAAGCTCTACCATCCCACCAGTGAGCCCAGAGTGAAACCATAGAGAACGCTTAAGACTGAAAGGTCCCTGATGATAAGGAAACCGGAAGCAAAAGCATTTTCATCTCTTCTGGTTTCCTGGAAGTAAACAACGCCATTTTTAAATAGGGAAACTATCTGAACACAATGATCTTGCTGTGATCAGATGCTTTTAAGGCAGAGGAGAGATCGAGGGTCTAATAGACCCCGGATTTCTCCATAAAGAGTACCTGCCACCGCCTGTTGCCGTTACAAGGGATGTTCCTTGTGACAGCAACAAAATTGATTTAAAAATTTAAAAAAACAGTGTAAAGATAAAAATAAATATATATTTTTTTTTAATTTGAAGCACCTCCCCTTCCCCTTTGTCACAATGACAAAAGCACGCATAGATCTTACACGCACACATACATTTGGATCACACCACACATGTGAGGTGTCACTGGGTGGTGAGAGCTATAATTCTATCACCAGTCCTCCTCTGTAATCCTAAATTGGTAACCTATAAAGGCTTTTAAAGCGTAGCCTATAGCAAAGTAGTTTGTCGCCATTCTACAAGCATTCACAATTTTAAAGTGTGACATGTTAGGTATGTATTTACTCAGCATAACACCATCATTTATATCTTACCAACAATTTAGTAATATATTGTGTTTGTGTGCATTAAAAAATTCATTAAAGTGTATTTTTACAAAAAAAATTGCATTCCAAAAAACTGCAGTACAAATACCTGGTGACTTAAAAATTTGCAAAGCCCACCATTTTATTCTCCAGAGCCTATGCTAAAAAATATATAATGTTTGTGGGTTCTAAGTAATTTTTTTGCAAAAAAATACTGATTTTTACTTGTAAACAAAAAGTGCCAGAAAAATGCCTGGTCTTCAAGTGGATATTACAGTTTGTTGTTCAGGTGTGAAAGCTGCGGCCACTAGAGGGAGCAGGTGCCCCGTTCTAGGTACATATTGGGCAGCACATGGCATGTATCATCTTGGGCCTACACATAGATCTCTGCTTATTTGCTTTATCTTTGTCTGTTACATCTACTTATAAAGTACTAATAGTGGTTACAAAACACAACCCCATTACAGTATTAGAGATGCTACCATTGTTTCTGGAGAGGCAACTTTCATTTGAGGCTTGTGCCTTCGAAACAAATGCTGAGACTGGACAGTTTAAAAATAAACCTATCATAAGGGAAACATAGGAACCTGAAAGTCTTTAATTTCCAAATTTTCTTGATTCATTGACCTGGAGCAAGTATGAAGTTGTCCTGATCAGCATTTTTTGGTCATCTGAGTCACCATCCCTTTCACAAGGTCATAAAAAGGGTGGAAATTTCATGTAGTCACCATGGCAGTATGGACAAGCTGAAAATTCAGGCAGGTGTAATATGCCACTGGGGTTTGTGAGAAAAGTCCATACTTTATTCAGCCTTTCATTAACCATACAAAATAAAAGCAGTAGTGTAGCAAACTCGAATATAAACATTTGTACCTACAAGTTTACAAGATGTCCACATCATCGCTAGCTGATGACATCACCGAGCATGTGCAGTGACAGTCAGTGTGCAATAGATGTAGAGCATGGTGCCAAAATGATGACTCCTGTGCAAATGCACAAGAGTGACATCATCACGTCCTGGCCATTCAAACGGCCAGAGAGTTTGAACTCGGAAGGAAGACTGGGTGAAGATGGGAGCTCCAGCAGTAGTGACAGCACACAGCGCCAGAGGGCTCCATTTAAAAGGTATGTCTGCCATATTGAGCTAGTATGCGTTGCAGGTTATGGCACAACACTGCAGAGGGCAATTTAAAACAGAAAGGTGGTAGACTTTACTACCGCTTTAATATCCTTTTTGAATGAAGTTGGTTGATGATGATGACTTCAATTCAATTTGCATTGCATTATGACCAAATTTAATACCATTTTCTATCCTCTTGTAGCAGGTTCACCGTTTAACCAGGAAATCCGTGTGGAAGCATCAAAACTACTTATCCAGAAATGGTAACGGGATGCCATTCAATGTGATTCCTTCCTATCAAAAACAGAAATATGAGAAAACTCAACTAAGCAATGGCATCAATGGCTTGAACCAAGACTTCAGTAAAACCCACGATGGGCCACCTTGTTTTGAAAGTAGCAGCAGCACAGCGCAATGGTTCCAGCGCAGCAAGTCACTGTTGTGTCTACCAACACTGACCTCATTCCCCTCATGTGAATCCTTTCCCTTCAGTGAGCCCTCTCAGTTTTACAGGAATGAGACCCAAACATTTCAGATGCCGGTGTGGCGAAGCAGCCCGCGGATCAACATTGACGACCTGGAAGGGGCTCAAGAAACAGATGTAGATACAGGAATGAAGCTTTCCAGCTCAGACCTGTCTGTCTTGTCGGCCTATTCACCTCTGGATGGCTTATCCAGTGACTTAGAACCTTCTCTACCTTCACATGGAGAGGATGGACCAGAAGCAAGACATAAGCTCTGTGAGCTTTCATATGAATCTTTTCACTCTGTTTCTGAAAAGTCTTCCAGTTCTTTGATATCTTCAGTTTTCCCTAGTATCTCCAGCTCTACTTCCCTGACAGAGTTCAAGAAAGACAATGGCAGCCATTGCCGGAATGATGTGGAGAACAGCAACCACAGGACAGAGACTGCCGCAACAGAGGAGGAAGAGTTTTATATCTGATCCAAGACAAGCCTGGTCATAGTACCATAAACTGTATTACTGTCCTAATTACATTGTAGATAATCCTAGGAATGATTAGCTCATTTCATATATCATAGAAGAAAGCATTATTTTCTTGTTCTTCAATGAAAGATATTGATTGTTTTATACATAGAATGCAAATTAAGATTTCACATGTTAAAGAGTTCTATTTTCTGCACAGAAAACTTGTGTGTATCGGTGGCAGTGTGAAGCATGGATCAGGAACTGAATGGTGTGTAGACTGCTCACTGGACAACTTAAAGGCTTATGCAATATAGCACATAGGAGACAACAAACCACAGCAATAAGTAACTCTGGGTGGGTGCATTTTGTTCCTGTAGAAAATCAGGTTTTTAAAGTTGCAAATTTACATTAAAGCCCAATCCAAGGAATTTTGAACATCCTCCCTTGCAGTAAGGCTGCACCCACTCTGCAAGAGCTAACTGCTCTTTCAATCTAGGAGAGGGAAAAAGCATTTTAACATACCTGATACCCCCCGGAAGATGGCTCTTATGCAAAGGAAATAAGAGTTTAGGTACATGATGGCAGAATTATACATTGTTTTACCCCCTTCACCACTAAAGTATTCAGTCCCGCCTCACTTTTTTCAAATTTGTTATTGTTTGTTATTTGTTAATTTTTTTTATTTTTAATGAACACTCAGTACCCCATAATGACAAAGTGAAAACAGAATTTTAGAAATGTTTGCAAATTTATGAAAAAGGAAACACTGAAATATCACATTGGCATAAGTATTCAGACCCTTTGCAACAACACTTTAAATTTATCTCAGGTGCCTCTCATTTCTCTTGATTGTTGCTGAGATGTTTCTACACCTTGATTGGAGTCCACCTGTGGTAAATTAAATTTATTGGATATGATTTTGAAAGGCACACACCGCTCTCTATATAAGGCCTCACAGGTGACAATGCATACTGGAACAAAGCCATGAGGTTAAAGGAGCTGCCTGCTGAGCTCAGAGACAGGATTATTGCCAGGCACAGATTTGGGGAGTACTACAAAAAATTCCTGCTGCACTAAAGGTTCCAAAGCACAGCGGCCTCCATAATTCTCATATGGAAAGAAGTTTGACACAACCAAGACTCTTCCAAGAGCTAGTCCCCCAGCCAAACTGAGCAATCAAGGGAGAAGGGCCTTAGTAATAAAGGTGACCAAGAATCCGATTGTCATTCTGACTGAGCTCCAGAGATCCTGTGTGGGACACAGTTCCAGAAGGACAACCATCACTGCAGTCCTCCACCGATCTGGGCTTTATAGTAGAGTGGCTAGATGGATGCCTCTCCTCAGTGAAAAACACATTATAGCCTGCTTGGAGTTTGCAGAAAAGATGTAGAAACATCTCAGCAAGGGCTCATTCACACTTGATGTTTTACCAACTCTTGCCAAACGCGTTGGTCCGGCATTTGCGGAGCGTTTTTTAACGCCCGGCAAACGCTCAGCAAACGCCCCATGCGCGGTTCAGCGGCTGTTGCTAGGCGTTTCCTGAGCATTAAAAACACCCCCACAAACGCCTATAATGAAGTTTGAATGGTGTTACCGCTCCGCAAACACCCTGCAACCACACCGCAAATGCCGACCGGGCGTTTGTGGAGTGGCACCATAAAGTAGAATAGGAGGCTTCAACGCCTCCTGACTTGACCAGAGGGGTCCGTTTTGCCGCGACGCTAACGCTCCCGTTAGAACAGCACTATGTGCTGCAATGTGCAGAATTGTCCGAGGCGTTTGGGAAGCGGTAAAAATGCTTCCCAAACGCCTTTCTGCCACCTGCACACAACGCTAGAGAAACGAGAGGCACTTGAGCTAAATTTCAGGTGTTTTTGCAAAGGGTTTGAATATAATGTGATATTTGAGTTTTTCATTTTTCATAAATTTGCAAACATTTCCAAAATTCTGTTTCCACTTTATCATTATGGGGTACTGCGTGTAGATTTAAAAAAATTTTTTTTAACAACTGTAGTATCAGGCTGAAACATAAAATTTAAAAAAGTGAAGGGGTCTGAATATTTTCAGAATGCACTATTCATGAGAAATTTTATACACTCATTAGCAAGAGATTGAAGACAGAACTGTCTGGGATTTCTTCTTGAAAGTGGAAAACCTGTTCTGTGACAGAATTGGCAATCTATTGTGATGCACAGCATTAATCTTAAAGGGTAGGAGTCAGTCCAGTCTTAGATATAGGTGAGTCATTTAGATTGAGTCAGTACTTGGCTTTTGATGTCTTCAGTACTCCGAACAGCAAGATCTCACCTTGGAATTTTGGGGGAGATGGAAGCTCCTGACGTTGCATTTTCCATATTATAAATTTTAAAAAATCTAAATCCCAGTAATCCCGGCCACAGAAATAATGGAGGTTTATTTCTCCTGCATACCAAATACTGAAAGGTAAATTTTTTGGATTGAACTCTTTTTTTTTTCCATCCAGACTTGGATTGCCAAGCTATAGAACCTATTTCATTCTCTTCCTCAATTTAGCTGATGGTACATTGCACCCCTTTAATGCGAAAGGTTTGATACCTTTTTTTTCATAATTAAAGAGGTTAGCATTTGATTATTCTGAGATAATCCAGCATCCTTAAAAGATTTAGTTCTGTAATAATGAGAACACTCAATGTTCACACATCTTCGATATTGTACAGCAACTGTGGCAAAAGATGCTTGAAGCTGTTGCATCATTATAAATCAGATCTGTGCTATCCTAAATCTGTGTAAAGTTCTCCACACATGTTATGCTCTGACTGTCCAATCTTCTTTAGATCTACCAACAACATTCTCAACCAGGGTTCCTCCACGGGTTGCAAAGGACTCCTAGAGCTGTGTCTGATTGACCTCCCATCAGATGGTGCCTGCATAGTTCTAAGTCCACACCACTTGATAGAGCCAACAGCATGACACCAGTGATATTTTTAACTGTCTGTAAGTGTGGCATTCTGATCACCACTGTAAAGGGCATTCTTCCCACTGGCCACCAGTGCAAGAGGCATTTTCCCAATAAAACCCAAATTAATCTAAGCAAGGGTTCCATGGGTCCTGAAAATTATTTCAAGGGTTCCTCTGGGATAAAAAGTTTGAGAAAAGCTGATATTGTACAACGGACTTCCTGACTGGATGAAAGTTGACTGGATAATTTTGGTAAGTCTAAGTCTTCATATTAACATACAGTCAGGTCCATAAATATTGGGACATCGACACAATTCTAACATTTTTGGCTCTATACACCACCGCAATGGATTTGAAATGAAATGAAATGAACAAGATGTGCTTTAACTGCAGACTGTCAGCTTTAATTTGAGGGTATTTACATTCAAATCAGGTGAACGGTGTAGGAATTACAACAGTTTGCATATGTGCCTCCCACTTGTTAAGGGACCAAAAGTAATGGGACAATTGGCTTCTCAGCTGTTCCATGGCCAGGTGTGTGATATTCCCTCATTATCCCAATTACAATGAGCAGATAAAAGGTCCAGAGTTCAGTTCAAGTGTGCTGTTTGCATTTGGAATCTGTTGCTGTCAACTCTCAAGATGAGATCCAAAGAGCTGTCACTATCAGTGAAGCAAGCCATCATTAGGCTGAAAAAACAAACCCATCAGAGAGATAGCAAAAACATTAGGCGTGGCCAAAACAACTGTTTGGAACATTCTTAAAAAGAAGGAACGCAGCGGTGAGCTCAGCGACACCAAAAGACCCGGAAGACCACGGAAAACAACTGTGGTGGATGACCGAAGAATTCTTTCCCTGGTGAAGAAAACACCCTTCACAACAGTTGGCCAGATCAAGAACACTCTCCAGGAGGTAGGTGTATGTGTGTCAAAGTCAACAATCAAGAGAAGACTTCACCAGAGTGAATACAGAGGGTTCACCACAAGATGTAAACCATTGGTGAGCCTCAAAAACAGGAAGGCCAGATTAGAGTTTGCCAAACGACATCTAAAAAAGCCTTCACAGTTCTGGAACAACATCCTATGAACAGATGAGACCGAGATCAACTTGTACCAGAGTGATGGGAAGAGAAGAGTATGGAGAAGGAAAGGAACTGCTTATGATCCTAAGCATACCACCTCATCAGTGAAGCATGGTGGTGGTAGTGTCATGGCGTGGGCATGTATGGCTGCCAATGGAACTGGTTCTCTTGTATTTATTGATGATGTGACTGCTGACAAAAGCAGCAGGATGAATTCTGAAGTGTTTCGGGCAATATTATCTGCTCATATTCAGCCAAATGCTTCACAACTCATTGGACGCCGCTTCACAGTGCAGATGGACAATGACCCAAAGCATACTGCAAAAGCAACCAAAGAGTTTTTTTAAGGGAAAGAAGTGGAATGTTATGCAATGGCCAAGTCAACCACCTGACCTGAATCCGATTGAGCATGCATTTCACTTGCTGAAGACAAAACTGAAGGGAAAATGCCCCAAGAACAAGCAGGAACTGAAGACAGTTGCAGTAGAGGCCTGGCAGAGCATCACCAGGGATGAAACCCAGCGTCTGGTGATGTCTATGCGTTCCAGACTTCAGGCTGTAATTGACTGCAAAGGATTTGCAACCAAGTATTAAAAAGTGAAAGTTTGATTTATGATTATTATTCTGTCCCATTACTTATTATTTTGGTCCCTTAACAAGTGGGAGGCACATATGCAAACTGTTGTAATTCCTACACCGTTCACCTGATTTGGATGTAAATACCCTCAAATTAAAGCTGGCAGTCTGCAGTTAAAGCACATCTTATTCGTTTCATTTCAAATCCATTGTGGTGGTGTATAGAGCCAAAAATGTTAGACTTGTGTCGATGTCCCAATATTTATGGACCTGACTGTAGTTTTGACAAATCTAAAGGAGATGATACAAAGATTGTACAGTTAGACTGTAATATGCAGGGTGCGCTTTGGGCATATGAGTCTTTTATAGGGAAGACATTTTTGGGAGGGTTTTCAATTACGTATGCATTGAGTTCCTAATCTCCCAACCTTGGCTATCTGTATATCAGACTGTGTGTTTAAAACCTTTGCTGAATGGCCATTAAGGTAACTGAAGAAGCCACTAAAAGCTGGCACTGTTTTCAGTCTTCTGCAGCTGACAAGCAAATCTACATTGAAGAGAGGTGTGGTAATGAAGAGATATTGTGCAGTATTACCAAGCACACTCACAAGCAAATTTGAGCAAATATGGCTGCTCCCACATACATAGCTTTTCTTTACTTAAATAGTTTGAAATGGCATTCTGAATGCAGTGAAGACACCTTGTGATGCTTGTATGTAGTTGTGTATAGTGTTATCATGCCCTTGAAGCCTGTAAATCCAGGATACCCTGATACATTTGCAGGAAAAGCTTAGGACTTGTTCCTCTTCCCCAAATACCTATTCATTGGTCAAGTGATGAACAGCCTCCGTATGCTGTAGGACAGGGTTGTCCAACCTGCGACCCACAGGCCACATGTGGCCCAAGGCAGCTATGAATGCGGCCCAACACAAAATCACAAACGTATTTAAGAATTTTGCTTTTTTGGAATTTTTCTGTAAAAATGCATTTACACTTAGTGAACACATGTGGGAAAAGTAAAATTTGTCCGTTTCTCTTTACTTGACTTTTATAAGTTTTATCTTCCCAATGAAAAATATACCTCTCTTTACAATAATGCCTTCTTTGGCAGCACCTATATTTGTAAAAATGTTCAAGGATGAAGCACATGAAGGGCAAAATTAGAACCAAACTATCTGATGAGCACCTTGAGGATTAGTTGAGAATTGCTACTGCATCCATCCAACCATATATTGATGTGTTATTATCAAAAACATTGTCAAATATCACACTAGTTTTATGTTGCCCTCTTTTACTTTAAGTTTAATTACTCAGATAAGTACACTATCTATATCAGTGATTGTTAACTTGGGATCTGCCTGACTTTTTCAGCTCATCAGCTATCCTTATTATTTATGTGTGGCCCAAAACAATTCTTCTTCTTCCAATGTGGCCCAGGAAAGTCACAAGGTTGGACACACCTGCAATAAGGTGTGCAGGTGGGGGGATGTGAGCCTCATATTTGTTCGAAACACTGAGATTTGCATGTGCTTTGGGTAATTGGGGATCCCAGGATGCTGGAAGCACTTGGTGACAGTATGTGCAGGTAGCTAAGGGGACCTGCATTACTTCATTCTATGTTAGGAGAGAAAAAGTCTAATGAAAAAGTGACTCTGCTAAGTTAAATATTATCAAGACAAAGGGTTCCTGCAATAGAAAAGTATTTTAATCTCTGGAGGCCTATGTCTCCTATCTTCCACTAGAGAGGTGACCATAAAAGCTCCTCTACTGCAGAGACCTCTCAACCGTATTATGTTTTTAACCTGACAGGGTCACTTTGAATAAAAAAAAAAAGGGATACAACATACAAGTACATTCACATATAGAGTATACAGGCGTACCTTGGTTTACAAATTTAATTCGTTCTGCAGGATTTTTTCATATTGCGAAAAATTAGTAAACCGAAACGCAGTTTCCCATAGGAATGCATTGAAAACCAATTAATCTGTTCAAAACTCTTTATAAATTGTACTTTAAAGGCATAAATACTGTACAGGGACATGATTAAAAATTAATTCGTAAATGCATTGAAAACCAATTAATCCATTCCAGAGGTCAGAAAAAAGTCAAAATAAGTTTTATTTGTTCAAAACTCTTTATAAAGTGCACTTTAACCTCCCTAGCGGTATGATTATTTCAGATTTTTGGTGCTGAAAGCGGTACCATTTTTTTGCATGGAAATATGTAGTTTTTTTTTTGTAGGCTGTAATTTTTAGGAATAACTCACTGAAATCTGTCCGAACAAGAGTCTATTAAACATCCCGGGTATGATAACATTTGAAACATGAAATCATAAATTATAATTTAATAAATAATCATAAAAAATAATAATATAATAATAATACATTTAATTCAATAATATAATCAAACCCGAAAACACTGAAATTTGAAATAGAGCGCCAAGTTCGTACATTGCTGAGCAAAGTCGCAGAATTGTTTTCAGTGTCTGATGACGAATTTCCCCACGAATCATTATCACTCAATTCTGCAAGTGGGTCTGATTTACTATTGCTGTTCTCTAGCTGATCTAAACCCGCTTTTGACCTAAAGGGGCACTTTTTGGACGCCACGGACGTTTTTCAGTTTCCAGGCAGAAAGAACAGACAAAATGCAGGCAGGGCACAGGCCAAAGCACTAGTGACAAAATGTATGTGAAATGGTTTGAAACAGCAATGTTTTACTATGAAAAATTTGTTTTGAAAAAAATGACATTTTTTTAAATTTTCAAATTTCCCGCCGCCGCCGGCGCCCGTACGTCCCGACGTCACAGGGACCGGAACACAGGAGGCGGATGCCAGCATCGGCCGGAGGAGATGGCCGGGGACGCTGCAAGGGACACATCGCGGGAGCGAAGGACAAGGTAAGCTCTGCACGGACTCCCTATGCAGCGCCGCATGGTAAGCCCGAGTGTAGCTCGGGGTTACCGCTTTTGGTACTGACATTTTACCCCGAGCTACACTCGGGAATACCGCTAGGGAGGTTAAAGGCATAAAGGGACGTGAGTAAAAAAAAAATTTGTAAATGCATTGAAAACCAATTAATCCATTCCGGAGGTCAGAAAAAAGTCAAAAAAGTCTTATCTGTTCAAAACTCTTTATAAAATGCACTTTAAAGGCATAGTACTGTATAGGGACACGATTTAAAAAAAAATTGTAAATGCATTGAAAACCAATTAATCTTTTTGTATTGCGAAAAAAAATCGTAAACCGAGCCATAATTTTCAATGGATTTTTATTCGTAAACCGAACATTACGCTAACCGAGACGTTCGTAAACCAAGGTATGCCTGTATATGTATACATTTCAAATATGCCTCACACAAGAGGGATATGCAGGCTGTTATTTCTGGTCTCTTCTGAAAGTGCTTGTTACCTGACTATCACTGACCTGGCACAAGTGCAGAGATAAGGAACGTTTTGCTGCATGCTGATTCGGGGTCTCTGACTGAGAACTTGTAAAGTCAGAAAAAGCCAAGCAGTTAACGTTTTCAGCAGAATGTCAGCTCACTACCAAACCCCAGTCCCACTACTAAGCCCTTTCAAGGTATGGTGCCTTCATTAGTAAAAGTATTTAAACTGTATGTAAAGTAGCTAACACTATGTAAATACTAAAATACCATTGTGTGAAAATGACTAAAGGTATACTTTTATTTTGTACGAGGGGCATTTAAGTCAAACCTAGACTACTGACTTTATATAAAAAAAGGTCAAATTTCAAGGAGTGGAAACTGCATTTATTTGTCAACATACTCCCCTGCTACATTTATACACTTATCCTAGTGTTTAAATAATGCTTGGAGAGCTTCAGCATACAAAGATTTGCAAGTATGCCTAAAACATTGTATGGCAGCCTGTTTCACTTCATCATCATTGTGTTCACCGTTCCCACAGAAAGATCTGTCTCTTGTGCAATTTAGGTTATGCGTTGATTATCCAGGATCAGGTGTTCCAAGCGCTGAATGTTCACAGGAATGACTGCTGTGGACTGGGAACCACCATGGCCGGGATCATTACTGACGGACGGACGTCCATCTTTGAAATGTTTACACTATTCAAATGTATTACTGCGGCTGGGCATCTCATCACCGTACTGTGCTTGAAGTCTTCTGTAGATATCCGTGGGTTTTACACCTTCGTTCACAAGAAACTTCATCACCACATGCTGTTCCATGCATGCACTAACACTGTTTTCTGCCATCTTGATTAACGGTCTCTGGACTGGCCTGCAACATTTACGCTGCCTATCAGTAATAGGACACACTTGTCGCTTACTACTGCGTGTAGCCACGCTAGCATCTTTTTTTTACCTGTACAATTAAAAGTCTCAGTTTGATTTGAATGCCCCTCGTAGTAACACTGTACAGTGAAGCTCTGTAGCTGATTTTGCAATCGAGTGAACTATATATCCATAGATTCTTGGGGGTTCATAATATGCAATGAGAAACTGGAGAGACCAAAATTTTACTAATAAACTCTTAAACCGAAAACTGTAAATTGTTCTTTCTTTAATTGAATTTGGTTTGTTGTAATATTGAAATGAGTAAAGTAAAATTCTGTAATTATTAAAGTACATCTAAACCAGGGGTCCTTAAGCTTCTTCTTTTACAGACCCCTAATGGATTGCCCAGAAGGTCATTATCACCAGTTCTAATTTTAGGTACCAGTATAACTGCAAAAATTGTCAAAAGCTTGGTTTGACTTTACATATGGAAAGCTAGGAAGAGAACAAAAGACAGAATGTTATTAGAATTTTATCATATATATTTATATAAAACACCAAATACACAAACTAGTTACAGTTTGTGAGATTTTGCTGATGTTTTGTTTTATGCAATTAATACATGCTATTGAGGTACAGTTACTGACATGTTATTCACCTGTCATTTCTCTGCTTTGATTTGAGGTTCAATATTGCAGAAAATACTTGTTAGGAATATCTCTAGTGGGTTCAAAAGGTGATATTTGAAGAGCCAGATTTAGATCATGCAGAGACATAGGAGGTTGTACAGTAGCCACATAAAATACCAGGATTTGAAAAAAGATCACTATGGCTGAGATTTGTATCTTGATGGTACTCAAGGCCAATATAAATTAGATTGTAAAAAGGTTAGGATTCATCACACAAAGTATTTCTTTGCACCAGTCAAAGAAAGGCTTCTATGTGCAACAATTTCGAGTCGTACATTTCCTAGCTTTTAAAAATGTGGGAATTACTGACTCAGAGAGACCCCTATCTCTCAAGAACTGGGATTCAACAACTCTGCCATTAAAGCCAGCATCTGTGAAGCAGGTTGATCTGGAACACCATAGGGTGTGTGCCAAAAGCGTGATTAGTACCACATCAATCTGGGCCATATCAGTGCTGTGAGTATCATCCAAATGCTCTCTATTTAAATCCTTCAGAGTAGATGAGGAAGGCATTGCAGGGAACGAAAAGCATAGGCCACCTGAACTGATCCCATGGAGTTACCAGAGCATCTACTACTTTCACCAGAGGATCTCTGAATGTGGAGACAACCTGTCCAGTTTATTATTGAATTTGAAAGTCATGAGGAGGTCCACATCCTGCATCCCCTACCTGTGGCACAGATACTGAAACTCTTCTGGGTTTAGGGTCTATTCCTACAGGTTTATACCCTGTCACCTAAAGTAGTTTTGTTCACACCTAGAATGAGAATGACAGTCAAGGCTGGAACGCTGAGCTATGCACATACTGGAACCCTTTCCACCTCTTGCCACTTCCAGACTTCTGGTTCTTCTGTGATGGTAGAATATACACCGCAGCTAAGGTTTTGTCCAACTGGATCCTAATCGGTTGACCCTCCAGTCAGGGTGTCCAGCTTTGCAGGAACAGCTAAATCTCTTGTAAATGCAGAATATACTGTCCTGCCTCTCAGGATGGTTTCCATTATGATGATTGTCTGACCCCATGTTGATGAGGACAAGGACTTTTTCCCCACAACCCTGTGCTGTGGTTGTGGGGGTCCGGGGCTTGGTGCCTGGAAGCCCCCTTTAACAAGGTAGGTTTCAGTATATGGGTTCCAGTGACATAGTTCACACCAGCACAGTGTGTTCCAGTGCTTTTCAGTTCCAGAAAAAAAAAGTACATTTTCCTGCACAGAACTGTACTGGAATGCAGTCCACATCGCATACGATTTCCTCCACTGCTCCAAAGCTGTCATTTGCCTGCAGTGCTGCATCATGACCAACACATGTTTGATATAAACCCTTGGCTTGGCACAGTTAATAATTATGATTTATTCTGCCCGGACACTTATTATACAGGTAAGGTCCCCTCACTATTTTCCTCTTTGTAAGGCCCCTATGCCTTTTTTAACCCTGTAGCTGAAACCCATTGTCTGTCCCCCTCCTGGATCTAGTGTCTTTGACTACTCCAAAGTAGATCCCCCCCCCCCAAAAAAAAAAAACCTTTACACCCGACGAAGGCTCCTACTGTCTGACAGCTCCGCCATAACTAAGGGATGGGGTCCACCCAATGATGTCACCTGGTTGATGACATCACAAGGGGTGGGGCTCACCCGGTGATGTCATCAGGTGGCCCTACCCCTTGGTTGTTTAAAATGGAACTTCACTCTCTCAATCAACATGAACTATTTTTAATATTTATGCTGCTAACATTAGTAAATAGAGTAAAAAGTTTATCATATTTACTTGTTTTAAACTTTTTTTTACATTTCTTAAGTTACTTCTTGGTTTCTATGCCTAGGTAAATGATGTCATACATCCCAGCAGTCTTCAGGAGGGGAGGAAGGGTTCTCAGCTCAGTCTGTGCTTGAGCTAAGGGCAGATGGATTCTAGGAAGTAATTGATACATGAACCCTCTGCACTTACTCAAGATGGCCACTGCCAGAATGCTAGGAGAATGTTTTTCAAAATGATTTCTCAGCAAAATAAAGCATGAAGACATGGGATGGATGGGATGGATTGGAGAGTTTGCTTTGAATATTAAACATGAATTAAATAGCATTTTTGGTTTGTGGTGCTCAGATGCAGTGCAGTTCTACTTTAAGAACTGTAAGACAGCGAAGCTGTCAGATGGCAGGAGCCTTTGTTGGGTGCGGAGCTCTTTTTTTTTTCTCTGGAACGGCAGCTAACGTTCAACGTGATTGACATTGAGGGACATTTATTTTTTGTGGTTCTTTTTTTGTTTTTTAATAAAGGACTTGTCAAAAACTGTTGTGTTTTTGCTCGCTTTTTACACTTTTTTGGTGAATGAGCATGGGGTATGTTACTATGTACCCCATACTCATTCACATAGCGGTGGACCGGGATCTGGGGGCCCCCTTGTTAAAGGGGGCTTCCAGATTATGATAAGCCCCAACCTGCAGACCCCCAAAACCACAGCCCAAGGTTGTGGTGAAGAGGACCTCGGCCCCATTAACATGTGGACAAGATACTTTGAGGGGAGCCCCTCTACCCCAAAGCATCCCCCTACCTATGTTGAGGGCATGTGGCCTGGTATGGTATGGTTTCCTGACCTGCCAGGCTGCATGCTTGAAAAAAGGTCTGGTATGGCTTGGGGGAGGACCATGCCGGGTTTTTTTACATTTTGGCATTGGGTTCCGCATAAAATCCATAACAAATCCGAAGTGCCTGGTATGGATAGGGAGAGGACCCCACACTTTTTCTTTTCTTTATTTTTTATTGACAACATACTTTTGTTTATATTCATTGAGTCATCGGTGAGTCATTAGGATGCAACAGAAAACCAAAATAAAGTAATTAGTTATGGACTCAACCAGGGTCTGGTGGGTTTTTGTGTGAACTCATTTATTTAAATAATAAAAATAGGAAGGCTGATGGTCAAAAGAACACATACATGACTCCTTTATTCTAAACAAAGTCATCTGAAAAACATATTTCAAAACAAAATACACACAACACCCCACAGGTCTTTATTGTGCCCCCTTGATGGTTTTTGGGGGATAACTTTAAAGCATATATACATCAAATTTTCTCCATATTTGCCAGCAATTCTTTGCACATAAGGTTCAGTCTTAAAATGACTTTTTGTAGAGTGGTCAAGGAAAAGTTCCTCTTGTCAACTGAGTGCCACTTTGACCTAAGGATATATTGCATCAGCGGTGATATATGTCCCACACAGAATGGCGATAAGGTGTAGTCCAGAGGAGGATGTCCTATATTTGCTTACAATAAGTACCTCCCTCACTATGTGTATAGCCAGATAGGTCCCTTGCGGGGTAACCATCAATTCCCAGATAGAAAGATAGACCTGATGTAGTCCAGAGGAGGAAAAAAGTATCATAACACAGGTGTATAAATAGTGGTATTTTCACCTCCCTCTGGTACCAGAAGGCCAAGGGCACCATCCAGGGGAGGATTCAAATGTAAATAACCTCCCTCATACATCAAGAAAGGTCTGGCTCCTACACAAACCAAGTAGGCATATCGTTTTGGAACAAAGAGGAAACTATTTAAAGGCATATTGTTGAGCAAGTCCCAAAGCATGGACAGTTCAAATTGTCAAGGCAAAGCAAAGGTAGAGTTGTTGGTACTTATAGTGTCAAGATCAATGTCCCTAGGAGACCTGGAGGTATGGCATGGGCCTTTTCCTGACCAGTTTTGCTGGTACAACTGGCTGCCTCAGAGGTAGGCTCAAATCTGTTCAAGTTTGCCACTATCGACTGGGCCCTAAAATGACTGACTAATCCCAACCGCGCGTGTGCAGTGACGTCACGCGCATGAGCAGTATGGCCTGCATAGAAGAAATGCAGTGCATGTAAACAAGATACTCCAGATGCCATCTAGTGGATGCTATTGTAACTGAATTTAAAGGAGATCAAAATACCGAGCAACAGTAAACACAGCACTGGTAATATGTATACATAGAACCTAAATTATCTGGAGGATATATATATTATTACACAGAAAAAGGACGCGACACCTGGCTTCCTGGCCCTCTCAACGACCAGCTATTCTTCACACAGAATTCAGATCGGTCAATAAATATTTGACCGATTTTAATGCAAATCATTCTGAAAATTTGGAATTCATTAGAAATGAATAAATTAAACTAAATAAAACAAAACTAAACAAATCTACAAAATGAAATTAGTAACATAACAAATTTATCCCAAAAACGTTTTCTGTTTTGCAAATGTCTCGTAGTAAGGGAGATGAGGTACGGAGTGGTAAACAAACCCTATTCTGTGATGCAGTAAAGCAGTACATGATGGGGTATGAAGTGACCTGGAAGGTCACATGATAATACAGGAAGTCAGGCCTCAGAATGCATTTTTTTTACATTTTAAACAGAGAGGTGGAAACTGAAAGCTGCCATGGGTGAGGCAAGTGAGAGATAAGCACACTGGGATAGTTTGGCAGAAAAGACATTAGAAAAGGCTTCTATTTATAAAAAAAAAAAGTGAAATTCTGCCCAAAAAGGTGAACTTAGCCTCTAAGCAGTATGCAGAAGTTTTGAATGAAGAAAAAAATAATTTAAGAAAACAGCTAGCTAAATTTCAAAAACTTTCTCAATAGACAAAAATGTCCTTCCTCCTACCGAAAAACTGGAGCACTCTGGGAGTCTGAGAGGATATAACTCGCTGGCCAGTGGCTTTTTTGATTGCTAGTATCCAAATCCTCCTGAAGACGGCAATAGAAGCCAATTGTATCAGAAACCCTATTGCTCCTGTGTCCCTAAGGCAGGCCATAGACAGTGCAAAGTTCTTTCCTGTTCACAGGGGAATCCCTCCCTCCGAGCCAGTGTGTTCTCCAGGCCAGGAGGTTGTAGCGGTGGGGGAAGCCGTCACTTTCAAGAGAAGACAATGATTATTACTAGCTGCTATAACAGTCACAAGCGATAATCGCATGTAAAACCCATCAGGCTGGTTGTACCCAAGTTGATCAATTAATCAACTTGGGTACATTCAGCCTGCCCATACATGGTTGAAATCTTGGCCGGTCCCTGCTAAACCAGCCGAGATTCAATCCCTCTATGGCCGGCTTTACTAAACGTTAAACAAATCACCTCACTATTGCAACCTGCAGCTGCTGTGATTTTCTGGAACTAAACAAAATGTCATTTGGGTGTGTTCTATATATTTTGTGTATATACTGAATGACAGCCTCAGAAATGTAATTTGCTGCCTATATTCTCTTAGTCCACGAGTTCACGTTTATGAATGCTTTATCTCCTGCCGCTGACGGCTTTCCATGATAAATTAGCACTTGCTTCAGGACTCATTTGGTGGGCAAATTACTATGTTGATGCAGAAAAAAAGCAAAGTGGAAGTAAATTCTCAGTCAACATTACCTATTTTTATTCCTTATGCTGCTAGCATTAGTAATGGGAAGGTAGATTATATTTATTTTCAAACCTTTTTTTTTCTTCAGTTACTTCCTGGTTTCTGGCTTAGGCCAAAATGATGTCATATATCCCAGGAGTCTCCATGGGCATTTTTTTTTTTCATCTAGGAGGAGGGGAGGAAGGGCTGTTTCAGCTAAGCACACCCTTCTGTCTGCTTCCCTATCCGTAGGATCACTCCTAAGCGTTTTCAACAGCATTTTGCAGAAACACAGTACAGTCCATTTAACATGATTTCCTATGGGACATGTTCACATTTGTGTGCTTTCACCCAGTGCATTTTTTGGAAAGGGTCAGGGACTTATTTTAAGGCAAAACGTTGCATTTTTGGTTCTATAGACTTTAATGGAAACGCATGTACTGTGTTTTTTATGCGTTTTTGCTGTGTTTTTAATGCGTTTTGCATTTTAAATCTGCCTAGCAACAAGAAAAAGAAAAAAAAGTATCAAAAATATGGCGAAACATGGCAAAAACACAGGTGCAAAAACACAAAATGCAACGCAAACCGCAATGCAGGAATGCCTCAAACACAGCCTGCATAGGTGTGACCCTAGCCTTAGTGCAGGTGGATTCCAGGAAGTAAATTCTACATGAATCATCTGCCCTTAATCAAGATGGCCCCAGCTAGATATGTTAGAGGGGAGTTTTTGAAAATGATTTCTCAAAAAAATAAAGTAGGGAAATGACAGACAGGCAGTGGTTCTCTCGTTCTGGGAGGACCTCCAATGACGTCCTCCCACTCTAGTTGTGCATGCGCTCCTCCTGGGATCACCGTTCAATGGAAAGAGCTGATGACGTCGGCTCTGTCATGTGATAAGCTGTGTCCAATCACAGCCGATTGCATGTAAATATGGAAATGCTGATTATCAGCATTCCTCTCCTCATGAGCTGTCATGCAGACAGCTCGTGAGGAGAGGAGAGCCTGTAATTGGCATTCCTCAGAGGGGACATGTACACTGATTATCAGGGCACTGATGATCAGTGCCCTGATGATCAGTGTAGCCCTCTCAGTGCCACCTGTCAATGTCCATCTATGCCACCTGTCAGTGCCCATCAGTGCCATATCAGTGCCTACCAGTGCACATCAATGCCACATATCAGTGCCCATCTGAGCTGCTTTTCATTGCCAACTATCAATGCCAGTCAGTGCCACCTATCAGTGCTGCCAATCAGTGCCACCTATCAGTGCCATTCAGTGCCGCCTATCAATGCCAGTCAGTGCCGCCTATCAGTGCGCATCAGTGCTGTCTATCATTGCCAGTCAGTGCCACCTATTAGTGCCAGTCCGTGCCGCCTATCAGTGCTCATCACTGCAGCCTATCTGTGCCCATCACTGCAGCCTCATTAGTGCACATCAGTGAAGGAGAAAAATCACTTATTTAAAATTTTATAACAAACTTTTTTTTCTTTAATTTTCAGTTGTTTTTGGTTTGTTTAGCAAATAATAAAAACCCAGAGCTGATTAAACACCACCAAAAGAAAGCTCTATCTGTCTCAAAAAAATGCTAAAAAGTTCATATGAGTACAATATTGCATGACCGCGCAATTGTCATTCAAAGTGCAACAGCACTGAAAGCTGAAAATTGGCCTGGGTAGGAAGGGGGTAAAAGTGCCCAGTAGGCAAGTGGTTAAATATTAAAAACAAATGAAATAGCTTTTTCTGTTTTCAGTGCTAAGATACAGTTCCGCTTAAGAACCCTCCTTTTTAAATGTAACTTTTTTTAAAATGTTATTAAACAATTAGAACCTCAGGGATTAAACAAGGTAATCAAAGGTTTCTGGCTGAAATTCGAAAGGAGAAAATCTAAAATCTTCCCATCTGGCCGTTAGTTATGCCTAATTCCCAGTTTGTGCATATTTCACACTTAGTAACACGGATATGCTTTAAAGCATTTTAGAATCAGAGCCCACTGAGTATTTCCCTATCGTTCGATCCCACAGGCTTAGACGCAGTTTCCAAATATTCGGCCTTTGTGCTTGCCACTCACATTATTGACTCCTGTCCGTTTCTGTACAATGCACATTTATCCTCTAATAATGAAAGTATCGCTTAGCATTGTATGTTTCGGGGAACTGAAATGTTTTTTGAAATACAAAGTGTCACCTGTCATGTAGCATTTTCCATTTCCTCTTCTGGGCTTTGCCATTACTATTCACAACAATTTGAGTGCATGCTGTGAGATCTTAACTTATTAGGCAACGATTTCCCCTTGAAGCAGAGAAGGGAAAAACATGAAAGGGAAAAACTGGAACATCTTAACACTTCAGTGCCAGCCACCAAGCACAGATTAAGAGCTTGCAGCAGACTATTCTTCTAAGCTGGGAGTGATATCGCACCAAGCGGTTCCTGGGCACAGGAAATTATTGTTCTTGAAAACACAACAAACAACAATTCATGTATTTTATGTCAGAATGACACTTACACCTAATAAGTCCATATTCTTTAATCAAAGTTCTGATATTGATGTTGCTGTTATCATTATTAGTTAATAAGACTACATCCTCTGCAGCACTGTACAAAGTATGTTAATATTAATACACTTGGCACCACGAAGAAAGGGAGGGGTGTTTCCATTGGTAATTAGGACATCGGGCAGTGAGCTAACCCAGAACTGTGTCTGGCAAATTTGTGCACTTAAAGTGGAACTGAACTCTAAAAAGGGAACATCTAGAAGGGTTAAAATAGAATTAAAGTTAAAACGCTCTTCTTTTCTTTTGTATGGAGTAAGGGAGGGTTATAACCCCTGTTGTTTTTTTTTCTTTTGGCTATCTGTGTCCTGTTGGAAGATTTTTCTGCATTTCGAAGATTAATCTTCATTTTCTGTCATATAGCTAACACAGAAAGTGGGAAGAAATCCCACCAAAGTGAAGGAATTCCTGGTTGTCAACAGAACTAGTGTCCCCATTGGAAGGTTTCTCCTTTGTTGCTGTTTTGGTGACAACCCAAATTTTGGTATTTTCCTTCATTTTCACTTTTGGCAATCACAGTAAACAGGAGAAATGGACAGAGCAAAGCTGCCTACCAGGGACATAATCAGCAATAAAAACCTGAAAGGTGTTGTAATTCCTCTCCACTATGTCCAAAACTTAATCAACTATCTTTCACCTGGCCTATAGTAAAAAAAAACAGCAAAGTGGGTGCTTTCTTATTCTGGGTGTATGTCATATGATGTCCTCCCAGTCATGGGCCTCACGTGTACCCTAGCGGTTATGCTGCGGCAAGATCTGTCACCTGCTGGATCCACCAGACAGAGCAGATGGCAGATCCCAGTACCATGTGATCACTGTGACCAATCAGAGCAATCACATGACAGTTGTACACAATGAATGGCTTTCATTCATAGCCATTCATTGTGTACTTTTGTGATGATCTCTGTGATTGGTCACAGTGATAACATGGTACAGATAGGGCCAATCAGAGCCCATCTATACCATGTGATAGCTGTGGCCAATCACAGCTGTCACAATAGTACGTGATGGCAATGAATGGATGCCAGTCACAAAAATGATTGCTTATAATAGTGATCATCACTGTTATAAGCAAGCATAATGTAAAAAAACAAAATTCAGCTCACCTCTCCAAAGTAGTAGAGTGTCACTATGGTAACACTGCACTGTTTTCGTCAAAGTATGTAAAACAAGTATACAAAAAAAAAAAAGAAGACAATTGTTTAAAAAATTGAAAAAAAAATATATTTTAAATTATTATACACACACACTATATTGCCAAACGTATTTGGATGCTTGCCTTTCCACGCACATGAGTTTTTAATGGCATCCCAGTCTTAGTCCGTAGGGTTCAATATTGAGTTGGCCCACCCTTTGCAGTTATAACAGCTTCAACTCTTCTGGGAAGGCTGTCCACAAAGTTTAGGAGTGTGTCTATGGGAATGTTTGACCATTCTTCCAGAACCGCATTTGTGAGGTCAGGCACTGATGTCAGATGAGAAGGCCTGGCTTGCAGTCTCCACTCTAATTCATCCCAAAGGTGTTCTATCGGGTTGAGGTCAGGATGCAGGCCAGTCAAGTTCCTTCACCCCAAACTCGCTCATTCATGTCTTTATGGACCTTGCTTTGTGGACTGGTGCGCAGTCATGTTGGAACAGGAAGGGGCCATCCCCAAATTGTTCCCACAAAGTTGGAAGCATGAAATTGTCCAAAATGTCTTGGTATGCTGATGTCTTAAGAGTTCCCTTCACTGGAACTAAGGGGCAAGCCCAACCCCTGAAAAACAACCCCACACCATAATTCCCCTCTCCACCAAACTTCACATGCAGTCAGGAAAGTACCGTTCTCCTGGCAACTGTCAAACCCAGACATGTCCATTGGATTGCCAGACAGAGAAGCGTGATTCATCACTTCAGAGAACACGTCTCCACTGCTCTAGAGCCCAGTGGTGGCATGCTTTACACCACTGCATCTGACGCTTTGCATTGCACTTGGTGATGTAAGGCTTGGATGCAGCTGTTCAACCATGGAAACCCATTCCATGAAGCTCTCTACTCACTGTTGTTGTGCTAATCTGAAGGCCACATGAAGTTTGGAGGTCTTTGCCTATTGACTCTGCAGACAGTTGGCAACTTCTGGGCACTGTGCGCATCAGCATGCGCTGACCCCGCTCTCTCATTTTATGTGGCCTACCACTTCATGGCTGAGTTGCTGTTGTTCTAGTTGCTCCCACTTTGTTATAATACCCCTAACAGTTGACCGTGGAATATTTAGTAGCAAGGAAGTTTCACGGATGGACTTATTGTACAGGTGGAAACCTATCACGGTACCACTCTTGAATCCACTGAGCTCCTGAGAGTGACCCATTCTTTCACAAATGTTTGTAGAAGCAGTCTGCATGCCTAGGTGCTTTATATTATACACTCGTGGCCATAGGGTGATTAGAACAACTGAATCCAATGATTTGAAGGGGTGTTTTTTGTTTGTTTTTTAAATACTGTCACTAGTCAGTGTCCCTTATCACCGCCACACCAGCCATATGATGACGCTGTCCTGCTCTGGTGATAGCATGTAAAAAAAAATTGTGAATTTTTTTTTTAATTTCTTAATTTTCCAAAAAATTAAGACAACAAAATTACAACTTCAAAAACTCACCATGCCGCTTTACAAAAAGGGATCAGTATTTGTACTGTCCTGGCATTTTAGGCCTCAAGAAATGTTCTGTCAGTCAGTACATCAGGATTGATCAATTATCAGATATATACCATGATTTGTTGACTCTATAATTTCCCACAGACTAAATAATATACACTGCTTTGGGTTATTTTTACCAAAGAATTGTAGAACCAAAGAAGGATTATTTATTTGCAAACTTTTTAACAAAACAAAGAAAAATGTGTTTTTTTTTAAAAAATTTATTTTGTGTTTTTTGTTTATATACCAAAAAAACTAAAAAAATGCAGTGGTGATTAAATATGATCAAACAAATGGTGCAGCGCTATAGCATAATCTTACACAACAATGGGATAATGACCTTCTGAAACATATGTCAATGTATAAAGATCAGAATGCACAAATATACATGGCAATATACACAGTAGTACAGTACCTATGAATGTGTTAGATCTGACAGGATCTATCAGGTGGTAAATAGTGCAAAGAACAAATGGTCCCATATAGGACCTAAATGCGTGATAATACCTGTCCCCCAATGGGACCAATCCAAAGTGTGATATACAAAAAAAATGGGTCCCTGTGTAGGGATATATAATAGAATCAACAAGTGCTCAGTGTATAAACCCACATCTGCTATTAATACAAGTGTAAACTTCAATGTCCATATTCAACCATCATACATGCTAATGGCGAGAATATAGCAATAACTTCTCCTTGTACGGGTGCTCCAGTGCTGGTGCAAGCGGTGAGTGCAAATCCTAAATGGCAGGCATGCCCGCTCACCTTCCTGCTGCTACCCACAAGGGTCAACACACTTTTCGGATCTCCCCGGATCCTGTACACAATCTCCAGGTAGGTCGGGTTCCACAGCCCCTTAATGATCTCTCCTTCACCTCCAATTACTCCTCCATACACAGGTGACCAAAGGTATACTCATACATACAGTATAGATCATGTTGGAATCATAAAATAATAAAGCAAAGATCCTCCATAGTGCAATACTGTATTTATTATCAAATCAAGTAAAAAACGTCATGGTGTCAACTCACATTTGGGTAGAAACAGTCAGGCTTCTTACACCACTAACCATGGGTGTACTGCATGCGCTTTTGGTGTACTAAGATTGCCCTCAACCGAGGGTGCGTCACCATGCCGCATCTACACGTTACGTCACACACCCTCGTGACTTCCTCAGGATAGCATCATGGTGTAGCTGGCTCGTAT